TCCCAGACCTGGCAGCTTGCTTTCTCACTTTCTCTCTCTCTCTCTCACTCTGTCCCTCTCTGGCTGGCATGCATCAATCAATCAATCAATCAATCAATCAGTCAATTGGGACCGGCACTGGACTCCCACATGACCAACTGTGGTTCGAGTCCCAGACCTGGTGGTGGACTTCCTCACTTTCCCTCTCTCTCTCTCTCTCCCCCTCCCTCCTCTCCCTCTATCCCTCTCTGGTCAAATTAAAAGAAATAAAGGTAAAATAATTCTTTAATAAATAAATGAAGATAAATACAATAATTATTTTTAAAAGAGAGAACTATTTATCTTATTCCACTTATTACTGTTTTTGAATTTGACCAGAGAGAAAGAAAGGGAAAGGGAGAAAGCAAGCCACCAGGTCTGGGACTCGAATTGTGGTCGGCTATGTGAGAATCCAGCGCCTTTAACCACCACGTTAGCCACTGGCGCTTACTTGACTATTTTCTCATTATCCTTTGGGTGGTCCTCCAATACACCTTGCTGGATAGGGGATCCCTCTTTCCCCCTCTTAGAACTTTGTATTTTCCATATTATTGTACTTATAATTGCCTTGTTCTATATCTGCCTTCTGCCCTAGAGTGAATGTTCCACAAGGGTGGGGGTCATATCGGTCTTGTTTACCTCTGAATCAGTCAAATCTAGTCTGTTACCTAGCATACAGTAGTACTTAATATTTGTTGAGTAATGTATGAATATGCTATCAACACAAAGATGGTATTTAGATGTTGCAGAACAGAAAAACTCATGGAAGAAATGAGATTTATAAAGGAAGAATAAATACCAAGGAGTATGACTTGAGAACCACCCACAGGAAGTAAATGAAAAAAAAAAACAAACACGTCTATCAAGATAAGAAAAGAATACTAAGAGCTTGTTGTTACAGATGTCAAGAGTTTCAAGAAATGTTGGATAACGTTATATGAAGTAAAAACAGCAGGTTACAAAATAGTACGCTCTTAATCAGAGTAGGGTAAAGTATATATCACACATGCCTGGTAGGTTATACACCAGAGTATTCTCAATAGCAGAACTATATCTTCTCAATTGTCTACAATGACTATGCATTCTTAAAAAAAGTTTATTTTTTCATTTCTTCCATGAGAGAGAGAGATAAGACTGGCTCTCCCGACAGGCACCTCCAGTCTCACAATCCACCCTCAGCCTCGGCAAGCCCAGATCAAGGGCATGTGTGTGTGCTCAGTATGCACAGGGAGGCTTCAGAATGTGAACTTAGGACCTGTGTGTCAGGCTGCGTTACCACTGTGACACCATCTGGCCCTTGCATTTTTTTTTTTAAAGATTTTTTTTTTTGGTCATAGGGAACATGTGTTCGCCGGAGAGAGACAGTGATGGGGAAAGTGAGAACTCATCCCCAGGGAGGTTAGCCACACCACAATCCCTTTTCCTTTTTCTCCTCCTGGAATTGTGGGCATGCACACACACGTGCCCAACATGATTCTCAAGTTGCCAGGTCCAGAACTCAAACCTCGAACGGGCATGTGGAATCTAGCACTGTAACCACTATGCAACCTGCTGGTCCCAGCTCCTGCATTTTATTTATTTTTTTAAGAGAGAGATTTTTGCTATAGGATGTGTGAGACAGAGACAGAGACAGAAAGAGAGAGAACAAGAAATCACTGCCCCCTGGGAGGATGGTCTTTCTCCTCCTAAGATCCTGGACACATATGCACACGTACCAGATGTGATTCTCAAGCCTTTGGGTCTGGAACTTGAACCGTGGTTGGTCATGTGGCAGTATAGGGCCTTAACCATTATGTCACCTGCTAGCCCCCAGTCCTTGCATTTTTTAAAATAAAAAAAATTTAAGTATTTATAGTTGACAATGCCAAGTATGGCTTAGAAGCTAAAATGAGGAGGAAAGTCCTTTGGAACACTGTTATCATGGAGTGTTGGTGAGACTGGGGGCAGGAACTATGGCTCAGTAGTCAGGCTGGAAAGCTGTGGCAACTGGTGAAGAGGTCTACTCAGTTGTGGGATATTCTCGCTGAAATGCCATTTTCCAAGTCGGCAACCTCCCTCCATGCCGGTTAACCTAAAAGTTGTCTTTAAACACAGGCTGAATTTCAAATGCTTGTAACTAGATTTAAAAAATGATAGTAGGGCTGGCTCTATGGTATAGTGGTTAAGGCAGCCAGATCCCACCTGGCCAATTCCATGTACCCAATGGCTTGAGAAACATGCTGGGCCCATGTGCATGTGTGCCCTGAATTCCAATGGGATGGAAAAATGGAGGAGTAGGGACTGTGGTGTGACCATTCCCCATGAGGGGTTCTTTCTCACTATGCCTTGCCCTCTGGTGAATATATATGCATTCTGGCAAAAAAAAAAAAAAAAAAAAGCAAAATGAATTAAAAGTTCTCCATTCATATAATAACATTTATGTGACACTTGAAAAAAAATATTGGGATAAACAAAAAACAAATCGCTGTCAGCGCCTGAAGATAGGGGACATAGAGACTACTGAAGATCATAAAGGAAAGTCTGGAGGTAAACAAATTGTTTTGTTTTGTTTTTTAAAAGAATTATTTATTTTATTTATTTTTTATTATCATTATTATTCTTTAAATTAACCAGAGAGAGAAAGAAAGAGAGAAATCAAGCCACCGGGTCCAAGACTTGAACCATGGTTAGCCATGTGGGAGTCCAGTGCCCTTAATCACCACACTGGCCCCCAAATTGTTCTTTTTTTCTTTTTTTCGGGGAGTGTTTTTTTGCTATAGGGCACGTGCGCTCGCTAGAAAGACAGAGAGAGACAGGGAGACAGAAAGCGAGAAATCACCCCCCAGGGGGATGGCCACGCCGCAATCCCTTCTCCTTCATTCTCTTCTTGGGATCTTGGGCACACACGCACATGCGCCCGGCGTTAGTTTAAGAGACTGGGTCCAGGACTCGAACTGCAGTCAACTACATGGGAGTCCAGCGACATAGCCATTATGTTGAATGCTGGTCCCTCCCAAACTGTTCTTTACCTTGATCGTGATGGTGGTTACATGACTGCATATGTCTTTTTGCTAAAATTCATAAATCTGGACCTCAGCTACAGTACACAGGCAGTAAGGACACTGCTACATGAGATTGGAAGTCATGAGAAGGCTCCAAGTTTGTGCTCTTGGTCTGCCTGAACATGCAGATTTAGGGGGAAGATCATGGGGTGAAGACCCTGGGCAAGGAAGCCTATATATCTGTTTCTGTATCTCTCAGAAAATAATAACAAATAAAATTTTAAAAAGTCAAATAACAGGGTTGGCTCTGTATCACAGTGGTAATGTGTTACTCAAGAAAACTGGATCCCACGTGGTGACTGTGGTTTGAACCCCCAGCCCGGGCAGCCTGGAATATCCTGGCATACATGCACGTGCCTAAGATCTGACAGGCTATAGGACTGGAGGAAGGGGATCATGGCATGATCGGAATGATCAGACCCTATGGAGGGTGCTTGTCTTTCACTCTTGTGGTGCACATGCATGTACTCTATCATGAATAAAGAAAAACAACAACATGGATCTATAAGCTAAAAAAAATCTTTTTTTTTTTTTAAGAGAAATTTTTGCTATAGAGTATGTGTGCTCACCAGAAAGACAGAGAGAGAGAGAAAGTGAGAATTCATCCCCTGGGGGGATGGCCACACCACAATCCCTTCTCCTCTGGGATTTTGGGCATGCACACACACATGCCCAGTGTGTTTCAAGCCACTGGGTCTGGGACTTAAACTGCAGTCTGCCATGGGGGAGTCCAGCAATGTAAACCACTATGCCATCTGCTGGTCCCTAAAAAGGGTCAATTTTATTGTAACAAAATTAAACCTTAAAAAAAAAGAAAAAGGGCCAGGGTTCACAGGGCCAGATCCCATATGGATGACCCGAGTTTGAATCCTGGCTCCAGTGGCTCAAAAATACATGCCAGGCACATGTCCGTGCATACCCCAGATCCCAACAGAATGGAGAAATGTAGAAGGGACTGTCACATGACCATGCCCCATTGGTGGGTGTTTTCTCCCTCTCTTTGTCTCTCTCTCTAGTGAGCACATGTATCCTCTAGCAATTAAAAAATGTTTTTAAGTGATAAAAGAAAGATTCTGTTACTTGAGGTAAATTTACATTGCATATTTACATTACATGTGAGACTAACAACTCTTAAGTAATAAAAGCGTCTATCTCAAGCTGGAACAATGACAACTTGAGAGGGGAAGCTTACCTCATGCTTGCCCATGCACCACTTCTGAGTCAGGAAAGTACAAGGAGGACATTTCTCCTCACTATGACAAGAATGGTACACTGCAGAAAGAAAGGTAACACACATCATTTCTAAATAAAGCCATATAAACTATCATACGGGTAATGAATGGCATAGGATGTGAAACTTAAATCCAGGAGCTAGGAGTAGTTCTAACTACTAAACATTTTCATTTTTTAAAGAATTATTTAATTTTACTTATTATTATTATTGATTTTTTTTTTTTCTGGGGGGGAGAGGTGTTTGCTATAGGGCACGTGCGTTCACCAGAAATACAGAGAGAGAGAGAGAGAGAGAGAGAGAGAATGTGAGAAGTCACCCCCCCAGGGGAGATGGCCACGCTGCAATCCATTCTGCTCCATTTTCTTCTTGGCATCTTGGGCACACACGTACACATGCCTGGTGTGAGTTTAAGCCACCGGATCCAGGACTTGAACTTCAGTTGAGTACATGGGAGTCCAGTGACATAGCCATTATGCCAACTGCTGGTCCCAATTATTATTATTGTTTTTAAAATTTGCTATAAGGCACGTGTGTTCAGCATAGAGGGTAGGGAGTGAGAAAACAAGTCAACATGTCTGGGTCTCAAACCATGGTTGGCCATGTGAGAGTCCCAAGCCTTAACTACCATGCCACCTGCTGGCCCTGGGAGTCATGCCACCTGCTGGCCCTGGGAGTATTTCTTTTAAAATGTCATAAGAAAATAAAGAGTCTGGCTTTATATAAAAGTGCTGAAGGATGAGTGAGAAAAAGAAAGCCACCCAAGGGAGTAAGAGATATGCTCAAGTCAGAAGCTAAGAGGGAGATAGCTTTCCAACCTTAGCTCTGTAGCAGTCACGTGGTCTGCTCATGCAACCATGGTCAATCCCACCTCACACAGAAACAGCTTACTTATGATCAGATATTTTTGCCATTTATTCCATCTAAAATGTTTCTACTGACTTTGCTCAATTTCATTACTGCCAGTAAGGGACATTATCAAAATTCATCTCCTACAAGAAGTCTTCCTCACTCTCCCTGATGTCATAGTTCTTACACAGATCTTGCTGCCATGTTTTCTGGTCCACATGCATGTTAAGTTTGGTTGTGCCATATGTATTTATTTACCATCTTCTTTCTCTCAGGGAGAATGTTAGAGAGTCCCCAAGGCCACAGGCTTTTATCCCTTCCTTTAAACCACTCTCTGATATCACACAGGCTATAAATACAACAAACACTCAAGAAAATGAATAAATGCTGAATAAAAGCAGACTAAAACAACACTATTCACAAGTGGTTAAGTTCTTCTTGTGAATATAGCTCAGTAGGATTTGGGCTACATCTATAGCATCTGTAAGTGAATGTCAAGAGAGAAAGGGTTGGGATCAGCAGACGGCGTAATGGCTACGTCGCTGGACTCCCATGTAGTCAACGGCGGTTTGAGTCCCACACCTGGTGGCTTAACTCATGCCAGGCGTGTATGCATGTGTGCCCAAGATCCCAAGAGGAGAATGGAGGAGAAGGGATTGCAGTGTGGCCATCCCCTCTAGGGGGTTATTTCTCACTTTCTGTCTCTCTGTCTTTCTGGTTGAACGCACGCGCCCCATAGCAAAAACCTTTCCAAAAAAAGAGAGAGAGAAAGGGTGAGCACTGGTTGGACATTTACTTTCTGCTTGTGTGAACACCTCAGCAGTGGCTTATGAGCTATCTGAGAGGTCCATCCTCAGGTCCTAGGGAAGGGACTTTTCTTTTTCCATTTTTTAAATAATTATTTTATTTAACTTTATTGGTTTATTTAATTTGCTCAGAGAGGGACAGAGAAAGAGAGAGAGGGTGGGGGAAGTGAGAAAGCAAGCCGCCAGATCTGGGTCTCCAACTACCGTTGGCCATGTGGGAGTTCAGTGCCCTTAACCACCACACTGTCTGGCCCTGGGAAGGAACTTTTCACTTCATGTGAAATTTGCTTAATTCTATTTTATTCTAATAACTTTAAAAATTGAGAACGGAGGCCAGTAGGTGATATAGTGGTTAAGGTATTGGACTCCCACGTGGCTGACCATGCTTTGAGTCCTAGACCCAGCAGCTTGAAACTCATGTTGGGTGCATGTGCATGAGAGAAGACGAGGAGAAGGGATTGTGGCGTGGCCATCCTACCTTGGGGGGGAATGGTGATTTCTTGCTTTCTCTCTCTGTCTCTCCGGCAAGTGCATACGCACTGTAGCAAAATCTCCTAACTAACTAACTAGACAGTGGTCTCATAAGTTTTGTTTGTTAGTTTTTTAGTTTTGCTATAGGGCACATGTGCTTGTGTGTGTGTGTGTGTGTGAGAGAGAGAGAGAGAGAGAGAGAGAGAGAGAGAGAGGAGAGAGAGAGAGAAAGAGGAACTGTCCCCGGGAGGGATGGCTACACTGCAATCTCTTCTCCTTGTTTCTTCTCAGGACTTTATGCATGCATGCACATGCACCTGGCATGATTTTTCAAGCCTCTGGGCCTGGAATTAAACTACATAGTCGGCCATGTGGAAACCAGTGCCTTAACCTCCATGCCTCCTGCTGGTCCACAGTCCCATAAGATTTTAACAGGCTATACTATATAGCCTAGGTGTGTACTAACATTTGTCAGAACACATCCCCATTGTTAAACAACATATGGCTATATTTGCAAGTCTGCGTCATCTGGCCAGGCAGCGTAGGTATCAAACCTGGCACCTTGGATATTTCAGATTTGCCTCTGGTACTAGGTAAAATGAAATGATGGGCCCAGTATGGCTGCGCAGGAAAACCAGCAACTAAACTGGACAGATACGGAAGACGGGTGATGTCAAGTGCTATTGGCCTGATGTCTACAGCAATTTATCAGAGAAAAATTGGAAACGACTTACATGTCCAGCAAAATAGGACTGACTTAATAAACTGTGGTCTATCCATTTAACACATCGTTCTTTCATAAGTCGTCTATACTGTGGGGGCTGGCAGGTAGTGTGTTAGTTAAGGTGCTGGACTCCCGCATGGCCAAGTCCCAGACCTGGCAGCTGAAACTCATGCTGGGCGTGCATGTGTGCATATGTGGCCAAAATCCCAGGAGGAGAATAGAGAAGAGATTACAGTGTAGCCATCCTCTCTGGAGGGTGATGTCTCAATTTCCAGCAAACTCTCTCTCTATTGAGCACACACACCCTATGGCAAAAACCTAAAACAACAACAACAACAAAATATTGCTTCTGAAACAAAAAAATCAAGTAACTCTTCATTCCAGTCATTTTTTTCTCTTTTTTAAAAAAAGAATTACTTTATTTAACTTTATTTATTATTTATTTTAATTTCATTCTGCCCAGGGACAGAGTGAGAGAGAGAGAGAGAGAGAGAGAGAGAGAAGGCAAGTTGCCAGGACCAGGACTTAAACCATGGTCAGCCATGTGGGAGTCCAGCGGCCTTAACCACCACACCACCTGCTGGCCCCACCTAGTCATTTTTTTCTTTCTCCTTCCTTCCTTTCTTCTTTCTTCCTTTCTCTTCCTTCCTCCCTTCCTTCCTTCCCTCACTTCCTTTTTTAATTAAAGACAGTTCTTGTTATACTGCCCAAGCTGACATCTGAACTCAAGATTCTCCTGCCTTGGGGGTTGGCAGGTGGTGTGGTGGTTAAGGGTGCACTGGACTCACATGTGGCTGATCATGCGTCTTACTTTCTCACTTTCTCTCTCTCTCACTCTGTCCTTCTCTGGTCAAATTAAAATAAATATATAAATAAAGTAATTCTTAAAAAAAAAAAAAAAGAAGATTCTCCTGCTTCAGTCTCCAGAATAGCTGGGAGTACTGATATTGTACTGGCTAAAACTAAGATACTTTTAATTTCATAAAAAGATGCTCAACGTTAGGGGACAGCAGGTGGCACAGTGGTAAAGGTGCTAAACTCCCACATGGCTGACCGTGGTTCAAATCCTGGACCTGTAAGCTTACTTTCTCACTTTCCCTGGTCAAATTAAAAAGTAATAATAATAATAATAATAATAATAAATAAAATTAAATAAAAAAAAATTTAAAAAAAGATGCTCAAATTTGAAATAATGTATCGAAACTAGAAGTTTTTAAAGAAAGAAGAAAATTTCATGAAAGCATCAGTGGAGGCTTCTTCCAAACTTTTTGTTACGTTCACCATCCACAGAGTAAACAATGGAGGGCTCTGAGATTCCTAACTGTGGCCTAGATCACACACCCAACTTCGTAGCACACACTCTGAGCACAGGGAGTAAGGAGCAGCTCTCAGAGCAGTGAGGACAGCTACATAGCAATACTGTACAGAACATGGCACGAGCAAGCTCCAGGAACAGAAGCAAGACAGGACTCACCTGGATGGTCACATTCATGGATTCTGGCACAGGTTTGGGTACACTCAGGGGGTCTAGTACCACAGGGAACAGGAGGGTAGATCACTGATGCACCACAGTGGCAGGTTAACTCATCAAAACCTTAATAAAGTAAAATAGCAGGTCAAATGAAATAATCCTTAATCAGTTTGGGATGCACACATACACATTTACACACACACACACACACACACAATTTTTTTTTGTTTGTATTTTTTGGAGCTACATTTTTTAAAACAGGGTTCTTATTTTATTAAACTTTTATATTATTAAGTTGGTGATAAAGGCATGAACAGATAAGAAATGTTCCATTTACCACTATGAGCAGATACATTCTCCAAAGGGTCTTTGATCAGATGGGAGGTTATACCAATGACCATGAGTTTTTAAAAAAGGAATTATTAAATTAAATTAATTAATGTATAATTATTAATGTATAATTATTTTTATTTAACTTTATTTATTTGCTTATTTTAGAGTGACACACACACACATACACACGCACACAGAGAGAGAAAGCCACCAGGTCCGGAACTCGAACCACTGTCAGCCAAGTGGGAATCCAACATCCTTAACTACCACACCACATGCCGGTCCCTAGTTTTATTTATTTGTTCATTTATTTTAATTTGACCAGACACACACACACAGAAAGAGAGAGAAAGAAAAAGAAAACAAGCCACCTGGTCTGGGACTCAAACTGTGGTCAGCCTTGTGGGAGTGTCCAGCGCCTTAACCACCACTCCACCTTCTGGTCCCAACCATGAGTTTTTAATATTGTAATACAAAATTTGTCATTATTTCAAAGATCTACATAATCCAGTGGACAATTACTTTCCAAGTGATCAGTGTGTGCTGCTATAAAATTATGCATGGGCAAAAGAATCATTCGAACTACAAGAGAGAACAATCCTATCTGTTTTACACAGATTTTTGCTATAGGTGTGCATGCTCACAGGAAACACAATGAAAGAAAGTGAGAAAGCACCCCCAGGGGAGATGGCCATGCCACAAACCCCTCTCTTCATCCTTGTCTCAGGACCTTGGGCATGCACACGTGCCTGGTGTATCTCTCAAGCTGCTGGGTCCTGGATCCTAACTGCGGAGTTGGCCATATGCAATCTAGTGCTCAATTCCCATGACACCTTCTGGCCCCGAGAACAGTAAATTATAATGTGACTAAAAACATAACAAATGACTCAAGTCCTTTCTGAAATGAGGTTGTATTCTGGTGTCATATCAAAAAATAGCCATATGAAAAAGTTTAAAAAATATTCTTCCCCTTCCCAACTATTTATCTGTGTGAAGGTGGATTTTTTTCCCATATGCCTCAACTATTGCAGGAGACTGAACACAGAAAGCAGATACAAGAATCCAGCTCTTTTCTACTAGCTCAGGCATCCACTAATTTCACTATTTTCATGAAGTTACTTATATTAATACGCAGTGGGTCTATGATTTTATTTTTAATTGCCAGAGGGCATGTGTCAGAGAGAGAGAAAGAGAGAGAGAGAGAGAGAGAGAGAAAGAGAGAAAGAGAGACAGAGAAAGCACTTCCCAATGGGGCTTTGTCACACTGTGATGCTATTTTCTCCATTTCTCCCTCTGGTGGGTCCTGGGCATACATACTCTTGTGCCTGGAATGTCTTTCATACCACCAGAGCCAGGATTTGAACTAAGATCTACCATATAGGATATGGCTCCCTTGACACAGCAATTAACAACTGAACTATGGACCAGTCTTACTATTGTTTATCTATTTTTAGGGTTTTTGCCATAGGGTGCATACACTTGATAGACAGTGAGGGGAAAAGTGAGAAATCACCCTTCAGGGGAAATGCAAACTGCAATCCCTTCTCTTCCATTCTCCTATTGGGATTTTGGGTATGCATACACACGTGCTCAGAGTGATTTTCAAATTGCCAGGTCCAGGACTCAAACCTTGGTTGGCCATGTGGGAGTCCAATGCCTTAAACACCATGCTACCTGCTGGCCTCTACTCTTACTTTTAAATGAACTAATACATCAAAAAAATTTTTAAAATATTTATTTAATTTTATTTTTCCATTCATTTATTTTTTAATTTGACCAGAGAGAGACACAGAGAAAGAGAAAAAGAGAGAGAGGGAAAGTGAGAAAGCAAGCCACCAGGTCTGGGATTTGAACCATGGTAAGCCATGAGGGAGTGTCCAGAGCCTTAACTGCCATGCCACCTGCTGGTCCCCAATATATCAAATTTTTAAAAAGCTTTCTTGGAACCAGCAGATGGCACAATGTTTATGTAGCTGGAATCCCACATGGCCGACCATGGTTCAAGTCCTGGACCTGGTGGCGTGAAACTTGAAACTCATACCAGGTGTATGTTCATGCATGCTCAAAATCCTGAGGAGAATGGAGAAGGGATTAGAACATGGCCATCCCCCCCCCGGGGGGGGGTGATTCTTACTTCTTGTCTCTTTGGCGAGCACATGCACCCCATACCAAAAATCTCTGTTAAAAAAAAAAAATTTCTCAGGACCAGCAGTTTGTGTAATGGCTATGTTGCTGGACTCCTATGGTGTCAACTGTGGTTCGAATCCTGAATCTGGTGGCTTAAACTCATGCCAGGTGCAAGTGCGTGTGTGCCCAAGATCCCAAGAGGAGAATGGAGAAGGGATTGCAATGTGACTATCTCCCCTGAGGGTGATTTCTTATTTTCTGTCTCTTTGTCTCTCTCTGTCTTTTTGGCGAGTGCATGAGTTCTATAGCAACTCCCATCCCCCCCAAAATTTCTCAAGTATAACTTCTTTTTTTATTACTTTACTTAAATAATTATTCATTTAATTTTATTTACTATTATTACTCTTTTTTTCGGGGGGAGGAGAGGTTTTGCGCTCGTCAGACAGACAGAGAGAGACATAGAGACAGAAAGCGAGAAATCACCCCCCAGAGGGGATGGTCACGCCGCAATCCCTTCTCCTGCATTCTCCTCTTGGGATCTTGGGCACACACGCACATGTGCCCAGCATGAGTTTAAGCCACCGGGTCTGGGACGTGAATCGCGGTCGACTACATGGGAGTCCAGTGACATAGCCATTACGCTAACTGCTGGTTCCCACTATTATTACTCTTTAACTTGGTCAAAGAGTCAGAGAGAGAGGGAGAAAGAAAGCAAACCATCAGGTCCAGGACTCAAACTGCAGTCGGTCATGTAGAAATTTCATGCTTTAATCACCACATCCTCTGCCAGCCCTAAATCAAATTTCCAATAGATTATACATAGCTACAGATAAAATTCACATAAAAAAAAACTCTGAGTTCTTCAATCATTTTATTTTTAAAGAGTTATTTTATTTAGGGACCAGCAGTTGGCATAATGGCTATGTCACTGATTCCTCATGTATTCACCCATGGTTCAGGTCTCGGACCCGGTGGCTTAAACTTATGCTGGGCGCGCGCGTGTGTGTGCCCAAGATCCCAAGAAGAGAATGGAGGAGAAGGGATTGCAGTGTGGCCATCCCCCCAGTGAGTGATTTCTCGTTTTCTGTCTCTGTCTCTCTGTCGAGCACACACACCCTATAGCAAAAAGTACTCAAAAAAATTTTTTTTTATTTAACTTTATTTATTTGTTTTTAATTTGACCAGAGAAGGACAGAGTGCTTGTGTGCACACTTGCGTGAGAGAGAGAGAGAAAGCAAGCTGCTAGGTCCGGGACTCAGACTACGGTTGGCCATGTGGGAGTCCAGTGCCCTTAACCATCATGCCACCTGCCAGCCTTGTCTTCACTAATTATTATTATATTTTTTTTTGCTATAGGACTTGTTTGCTCACTGGAGGGAGAGATAGTGAGAAGGACAGAGAGAAATCACTCCCTAGGGGCTATGGCCACACCACAATCCCTTCTCCTCCCGGGACTTTGGGCACACGTGCACACGTGCCCAGCATGATTTTTAAGCCTCCAGGTCTGGGACTCAAACCATAGTCCACCACATGGGAGTCCAATAACTTAACCACCATGCCACCAGCTGGACCCCTTGTCTTCAATAATTTTTAAGGATGTAAATAAGCCCTAAGACCAAAAGATTTGTGAACTGCTACTAATAACATAAAGAAGACTGCTTAAGACTGAATCAAGGTCAATTACAGATAAGAGGTAGGAACCAGAAAAATCTACTGATGAACCAGACCCCATCTTAGGATCAATGCTCATATCTCATGTTTTTGTACATTTAGAGACAATATACCACTAAGAATAACCCTTTCTTTCTTTCTTTCTTTCTTTTAATTTGCAAGAGTGTATGTACACTTGTTGGAGAAATAGTGGGAAAGCATCCCTGGATGTGGGATAGCCACTCCATAATCCCGTCTCTTCCATTTTTCCTTTAGGGATTTGAGGCACACATACAGTTGAACCTGGTTTCTTTTTCTTTTTTTTTTTGTTTGAGTCATTTTGTTTCTTTTACCTAATCTCCCTTGAAATGCAAGACGTAGGTGTATTAAAGAACCACACGATGTGGCTCTCCAACTTTCCTCAAGTAGCCCTACCTATATATTTTAAATTATCATAAGAAAACAAGCAAAAAACCTGACAGCATGAGGAGGATCCGTGCAGTCGTAACTGCCACCATTTAAAAAAATATGGAACACTTCACTGATTTGCGTGTCATCCTTGTGCAGAGACCATGCTAATCTTCTCTGCATCATTCCAATTTTAGCATATGTACTGCCAAAGCAAGCACTTCTTTCCCTTTTTAAAGAATTATTTTATTGGGAACCAGCAGTTAGCGTAATGGCTATGTCACTGGGCTCCCACGTAGTCAACTGCGGTTCGCATCCCGGACCCGGTGGCTTAAAACTCACGCCAGGCGCGTGTGCATGCATGCCCAAGATCCCAAGAGGAGAATGGAGGAGAAGGGATTGCAGTATGGTCATCCCCCCTGGGGTGTGATTTCTCGCTTTCTGTCTCTATGTCTTTCTCTGTCTGTCTGGCGAGCGCACGTGCCCTATAGCAAAAACCTCTCCAAAAAAAAAAAGAATTATTTTATTATTATTTTTAAAACTTTGCTATAGAACACGTGTATTCACCACAGAGAGACAAAGAGAAAGAAAGAGAAAAGGAAAGTGAGAAAGCAAGCCACCAGGTCCAGGACTCGAACCATGGTTAGCCATGTGAGATCAAGCTGCCTTAACCACCATGCCGCCAGCTGGTCCCAGAGTAATTTTTTTCTTTTGTTTTTTTTTATTTTTTTGGAGAGGTTTTCGCTATAGAGCGCATGCACTCGCCAGAGACAGAGAGATAGAAAGCGAGAAATCACCCCCTGGGGGGCTGGCCACTCCACAATCCCTACTCCTCCATTCTCCTCTTGGGATCTTGGGCACGCATGCACTCATGCCCAGCTTGAGTTTAAGCCGCCGGGTCTGAGACTCGAACCGTTGTTGACTACGTGGGAGTCCAGCAACATAGCCGTTACGCCAACTGCTGGCCCCGTAATTTTTTTTTTAAAGTTTTTGTCATAGATGCGTGTGCTTGTTGGAGAAAGAAAGGAAAAGAGAAATCACCCACTAGGGTTAATGGTCACACCATAATCCCTTCTCCCTATTCTCCTCCTGGGATTTTAGACAGACAAACACACACACACACACACACACACACACACACACAGTGATTTTCAAGCCTCCAGGTCTGGCACTTGAACTGAGGCTGGCCATGTAGGAATTCAGCACCTTAACCACCACGCTACCAGCCAACGCTCAGGAATAACTTTTTAAAAGAAAAGTCTCAATATATCTGAAATATTTAGGCTTAGCTCAATAATCCATACCAATCTAAGCAAATAAATGTCTCAAACATATGCCTGAACTTCTAGAAAACTCTTAGTAATAAAGTATACTCACTGGCTTGCCAGCATGTTTGACAGTTCCCACGATGACATGGTTCTTCACATCGATGAAGGCCACAGCGGAGTTTCCTCCCACAAATCAAAGGACACTTGTGCTCCTTATCCTGGAAAGAGCAATTTATATTTACTTATAAAATCGCGTTCATTTTATACTTCCCATAAAAATTAATAGGAACCAAGTTCTACGCATTTATGGATGAAATAGTATCTGGGAGTAGCTTCAAAACCTGGGAAGTAGTAGGTAGGGATATAGATGAAATGAAATTAGCCACAGATTGATCAATACTGAAGCCAGATGTTGTGTATATGCGTCTCAGTATACTAGTCTCTTTGTATACGTTTGAAAATGGGAGGAAGTCTTTAAGCCTTCAAACACTGGCTTATATGTCTTTGTATACAGCACAATTCATCACTCTTGTCAATATGTAAATTTCAAAAAAATTATTTATAGGGGCTAGCATGTAGCATAATGGTTAATGTGTTGGATTCCCACATGGCCAATAGCAGCTTGATTCCCAAACAGCCGAACATGCTGGCAGCTTGAAAAATCACACCAGGTATGTATGTGTGCATGCTAAAATCCTAGGAGTAGAATGAAGAACAGATCGTTGGGATCAGCAGGTGGTGTGGTGGGTAAGGCGCTGGACACTCCCACATGGCTGACCATGGTTTGAGTCCTGGACCTGGTGGCTTGCTTTCTCACTTTCCCTCTTTCTCTCTCTCTCTGTGTATCTCTCTGGTCAAATTAAAATAAAATGAATGAATGAAAAAAAGTAAATAATTTAAAAAAATAAAGAAAGAAAGAACAGATCGTGGCATGACCCACCCTCCTGGTAGTTATTTCTCACTTTCCTTCTCACTGTCTGTCTGTCTGTCCCAGCAAGCACACACCCCCTCTGGCAAAAACCTTAAAAAAAAAAAGAATTATAGATTTTACATACATAGATGTATATAGGTATGTGGTACATGTATTATCTTGCTGTTGCTACTGTTATATATGTTTATATATGCATATATATGTGCATATACACATACATGTACATATATGTTACCTTGTCATATACATACACATCTATCTTGTTTTATTAAATTGATAGCATATATGTATGACAAGATAGTATAATACCAACAGTCAGATAGTACTACTATTTCTTTTCTTTTCTTTTTTTTTTTTTTTAAGAGAGATTTTTGCTATAGGGTGCCTGTGCTCATCAGAGAGAGACAGAAAGAGAAAAATCATCTCCTTGAGGGGATGGCCATGCTGCAATCCCTTCTCTTACATTCTCTCAGGATTTTGGGCATGCACACACACATGTCTGGTGTGAGTTTGAGGCCTCTGGGTCTGGGACTCAAACTGTAGTAGACCACGTGGGACGTAACCATTACGCCATCTGCTGGTCCTTGTAGTACTTCTTTTTTAAAAAAAAATTGTTGGGGCCAGCAGGTGGTATGGTTGTTAAGGGCACTGGACTCCCACATGGCCCATCGTGTTTCAAATCCTGGACCTGGTGGCTTGCTTTCACGCTTTTTCTCTCTCTTGTCTTTCTCTCTCTCTCTCTGGTCAAATTTAAATAAATAAATAAATAAAGTTAAATAAGAAAAAACAATTCTTTTTTTAAAAAAAAATATTTATTTCAAATTTAAATTTCATTCATTTATTTTAATTTGACCAGAGAGAGAGAGAGAAAGACAAGAGAGAGAAAAAGCGTGAAAGCAAGCCACCAGGTCTGGGACTTGAACCATGGTCAGCCATGTGGGAGTGTCCAGCGCCTTAACCACCACACCACCTGCTGGTCCTCAGAAAAAATAATTCTTCAAAAAGAATTTTTTGTTATATGGGGCCAGTAGATGGTGTGGTGATTGAAGCACTGGGCTCCTGCATGGCTGATTATGGTTTGAGTCCTAGACCTGGTGGCTTGCTTTCTCACTTTCTCTCTTCTCTCTGATGAGTATGTATGACCTGTAGAAAAATTCTTTAAAAACAAAATTGTTATAGGAGGTGTGCATTCGGCAGAGAAAGAGAGATAGACAGAGGGGGAAAGTGAAAAAGTTTCCCAGATGGATGACCATGCTGCAATCCCTTCTCTTCCACCCCCCTTGGAATTTTGGGCATGTGTACGTACACACACACACACACACACACACCCCTATTGTGTTTTACAAACCAATGGGACCAAGACTTGAGTCACAGTCAGTCATGTGGGATCCAGCCACTTTAATCACTGTGCCACCGGCTGGCCCCAGGTAGTAACTACTTCTTTTAATTAGTGACTATTTCAATAAGTAAAACTTGCTCCACTAAAAATACCATACTCATTTTTTTTTTTTTTTGAGAAGTTTTTGCTATAGGGTGGTATGATCTCACCAGAAAGAAAGAGAGAGAGGCAGACAGAAAGCGAGAAATCACCCCTAAGGGTGATGGTCATGCTGCAGTCCCTTCTCCTTCATTCTCCTCTTGGGATCCTGGGGTATACATGCGCATGTGCCCAGCGTGAGTTTAAGTCACTAGGTTCAGGACTTGAACTGCGGTTGATTACATGGGAGTCCAGTGACATAGCCCATACACCATCTGCTGGTTCCCCATACTCATTTTTTAAAATAATTATTTTATTTAACTTTATTTATTTTTATCTTTTAAATTTGACCAGAGAAAGACAGAGAGAGAGAGAGAGAGAGAGAGAGAGAGATAAGGTGAGAAAGCAAGCTGCCAGGTCTGAGACTTGAACCACACTCAGCCATGTGGGAGTCCAGTGTCTCTCTCTCTTTTTTTTTTTTTAGGATGAAGTAATCCTTTATTTTCATACTTCTACAAAGAGGTTTTCAAGGAAATATCTTTCTAGTGGAGATTAGTGAACATGAAAATCAGCTTCCAGCTATCATCATCAGCTCTGCTCAGGGCCTAGGCTCCCCCTGGCCTGAGTGCTGAGGTGGAGGGATGTACTTTCCTTCATTTATTAGCTTTCCCCACTGTATCCTGGTGGCATTCATGCATTTTATCATTTTCTGCCGAACCATTCATTCTATGAAATCACTGAATTCTAGCTTGCACTCTTCCTCTGCCCGGATACCACCAATTCCATGTGCATAGCCTATCCATTCTTTTTCAAAAGCATGCATTGAGATGGGAGTTCGTGGGGCTGTTCACCACTTTGGATTGTCATCTAGCAATCTACATTAATGCCCAGCCTTTTCTGCACATCAAGGAAAGGCATGACTGCCCACCACACTGCCCTTGTCTTCTAGCTGGCTGCCACTTCAGAACCACCAGCTTGGGAGCTGAGTATCTTTAACTATCACACCACCTGCTGGCCCCATGAAATGTCAAACTTTACCCACTGATCTGCCTAAGCAGTGCATGAAATCTGAAGCCCACATTGCTAAGTCTAGGTCAGTCTGTGTTGGAACAACATAAAATCTCCTGTAAAAGAATGTGTACTCTTCAAGAAGTCTTGAATTATGGGGCCTCAGGCTTTTGACTTTCCTCTTTTTCTTCTTCTCTGTTGCCAATGGATGCCACTGGCTGACTTCTTGACCTGGCTCAAGGCTAAAAGTCAAGAATGAATGTGGGAACTATGAGAGCTCTCTTACTGCTGCTAAGGGGATCTTCTCAGTGATTTTTAAGTCTGGGCTACATTCCAGATGGCTGAGGTTTCTAAAAGCTCAGCTCCTAAATGAATGCAATCTGCTTATGCTTAATGATAAATCCACTTACCACACAGCATATCTCGTTACATTTATGCCGTCCACATAACCGTTTCTTGTTACACCGCTTGTCACACATAAATGTAGCATCTGTTGTGGCCAATTAAAAAGGAAAAAAGAAAAAAAAAAGCAAAGGATATAAGCATTCATTCAACAAATATCTGAGCGACGGTCGACTGAAGAAGTATAAATGTAATATAAATAAATTATTTATAGCTATAAATAATGGAGAAGATTGCAGCCTGGCCATCCCCCCTAGGGGTGATTTCTGTTTCCATCTCACTATATCTGCCTGTCTGTCTCTCTCTTTCCAGTAAGCATACGAGCTCTAAGATTAAAAAAAAATCATCAGGACCAGCAGTTAGCGTAATGGCTATGTTGCTGGACTCCCATGTAGTGGACCGCGGTTCAAGTCCTAGACCTGGTAGCTTAAAACTCACGCTGGGCACGTGTGCGTGCGTGCCCAAGATCCCGAGAGGAGAATAATTTAACTGAAATTTGTTCTCAAAGTATTCTAGCAAAAAAATAAAAAGTAGGGAGGGAAGGACAAATCAAACAAGAAAGGCAAAATGCTGATAATTGTTGAGGATAGGTGAATGTATATGGTGTGAGTGTGGGATCATTATTCTTTATTTTTCTTCAGTTTTACTTTAGGGTGCATATTCTTGCGGGGTTAGGGTGGGTTGGGAGGGGGGAGAGAGAGAGAGAGAGAGAGAGAGACAGGGAGAGTGACAAATCACTGCAATCTCTTCTCCATTCTCCTCTCGGGATTTTGGGTGTGCCTGGCATGATTTTCAAGCAGCAGGGTTAGGGACTTGTACTGTGCAATTGGTCATGTCAGATCCAACTGCCTTAACCGCCACACCACAGGCTGGCACTTGTCTATCACTTTTCCAAAAAGGTTTTAAGGTGGTTTAAACAGATTATGTAATGGTTATTGAAACAGAGAAAGAATGAATCAGAATAGATCAGGGACTAAGAAAGAGACAACATTTTAGAACTCAGGATTAAGAAGGCTACTGGCTGCATTCCTGTCCGGGTATCCCATCAAGCCCGACAGGGATCAAATATCAAAGTTTGTGTAAAAAGTTAACTTCAGGTCCAGCAAACGGAGAAGTGGTTAAGGTGCTGGACTCCAGCATGGCCAACTGTGGTTCAAGTCCTGAACCTGGTGACTTGCCTTCTCACTCTCCCTGTTTGTTTCTCTCTGGTCAAATTGAATAATAATAAATAAATCAAATTAAATAATTCTTTAAAAAAAAAAAGTTGACTTCATTAGAATTCTTACTCCCTGACTCCAACATTGTTTATGAAAATTTCAAACATATAAAGAAGTCGAAAAAATTTTACAGTGAATACTCATAAACCCACTAGACCTCAATTCTACTTTTCATATATCTATCCATTCTTCTATCTACCCACCAATTTATCTTATTTTTCATGCATTTCTAAGCAATCTGTCGGCAGGAGTACAATTAGCTGAAAATGATCAGTATTTCATGAACTAAAATAGAATTCTATTCATTTTCTTCTTTTTAGGTAAAGTTATACAAAGAAATGCACAAATCTGTTTTTTTTTTTTTTAAGAATTATTTATTTTATTTTATTTATGATTATTCTTAATTTGACCAGAGAGAGGGAAAGTGAGAAAAGAAGCTGCCAGGTCTAGGACCTGAACTGCGGTCAGCCATGTGGGAGTCCAGCACCTCAACCACTACTCCACTAACAGCCTCAAAATGCACAAATCTTAAGTGCATCTTCACTGAATTTTGCCAAATACATAAGCTAATCCCCATCAAGATACAGATTACCTCCATCCCAGAAAATTCCTTTATGCCCATTCCCAGTCATACCTTCACTTTTGAGACTGGTACATGGAAGCTCCTATGGGAAAACAAAAATAAAAAACCATCACTTCTTTAGTAATAACTGAAACAACTCAACTACAGTATGATGGTAAATGTTAGCATGTGTAGTAATTACATCCCAGATATCCTAACTTCTCTGACAGTCACTTATGTACCAACTTCACCTGCCTGGAACTAGCCCAACCTCTATATTAATCTGAGTTAGTCCAGAAGGATCCTGGGTTTACTGACTTTTCACACGAATACAATTCTAACAATGTTTTGTGGTCTGGTCTCCAAATGCAAAAACAAATTACAAATTATGAAATTTGAATGGAAAAAGAGACTGTTAAAGGTACGCAAAAGCAAAGAGATGTAATCATTTGTCAAGAGTACAGTCAGAAAAAAAACAGATGTAAAAATTGAAAATAGAGAGAACAGCAGATGGCGTAATGGTTATGTGGCTAGACTCCCATGTAGTCTACCACAGTTCAAGTCCCAGACCCAGTGGTTTAAAATTCACGTTGGGTGTGTGTGTGCATGCCCAAGATCCTGAGAAGAGAATGGAGAAGGGACTTGCAGTCTATTCCCCCAGGGAGTGATTTCTTTTCTGTCTCTCTGTTGCTGAAGCAAATACATGTGATCTATAGCAAAAATCTCTCAAAAAAAAAAAAAAAGAAAAAGAAAAAAAAATTGAATAGTGCTAACTCTGTAACACAGTGGTTAGGCACTGTGCACTGGGAACTGGATCCCACATAGCCAACTGTGGTTTGAGTTCTGGCCCTGACAGCTTGAAAAAACGTGCTGGGCACATGTGCATGTGTGCCCTAAATCCTAATGGGATAGAAAGATGAAGGAAAAGGAGTGTGGTACAACCACACCCCACTAGTGGGTTTTCTCTCTCTCTCTCTCATGGTGCACGTATCCTCTGGCAATATTAAAACAAAAAGAGGGCCAGCCACTTGTGTAGTGGTCAAGGCTGCTGGATCTCACATGGGATGACTGTGACAGCTTAAGAAACATGCTTGGAGCATGTGTGTGTGCACCCAGATTCTCAAGAGGAAAACGGAGGAGAAGGGACTGCGGTAATGCTGGGGAACACTTTCTCACTTCCCGTCTGTCTCTTTCTTTCTCTGGTGAGTGCACAAACACTATAAGGAAAAAAAAAATCCCCTCAAAAAATTGAAAATAGACAATAGGGGCCAGGTAGTGATGCACTAGTAACACAATGGAGTCATGTGGCAAAGCACTGGGTTCAAGTGTTGGGACATACCTGAGCACACCAACTGTGCACCGCCTATGATCTGAGCCAGCTGAGACTGACGGTGGATCATTGCATAGGGATACTTAAGGGTGCCTGTCTCTTTGTCTCTCTCACAGGAGAAATAAACTCAAAAAACTGTCCATAAATTTCTGCATGTTACCAAAAAAATTTAAATATGGCATTTAAAAAAATTATAAGGTAGTAAATAAGATACAGCATATGTTACTCAAAGACCAAAGTGATGAAAATTAAAAATAAAAAAATATAACTTTGAAGCCTTATGAAACAAATTTTATCTATCAAGAAAAGTCACTACAGTGGAAAAGCTCATTTCGTTACAAAAAATTTAAAAAAGGTTAACGAAAAACTGATACTCATGAAAAGTCTGGTTAAATAATAAGGTGTTTATCAACTTTTGAAGCTTTTGTCAAAAGGGCTTAACAGGATTTGTATAATAATGAGCTTCTTCAGCAATTATAGAAAAATCTTCATCCAAATTCAATTTACACATAGCTGTTTAAGAATATACTCACAGCCATGGGGTTCATTATTAGAGCGAGTGAGGACAAAGAGGAAATGAGAAGCAACAGAACACAGAGATAAACAGACTGTTGGGGAGAAAGCCATTTCTAGCTTTTATATCCCAACTCGGCTTGTAATTCTTGGATACAGAGCACCTTTGGGCATTACTAAATCTGTGATTACTAAATCACAGTATTTCACAGTCTTTAATGTGGTATTTACAAAGTAAAAAGCGGTTCTGTATCTGATGTTCAAGATACCTCTACTGCCCCACGTACATTGTGATTGCCTTTAGGAAAAAAACCAAAAACTGCACATGTTTGACTTCCATAAGAAGGCTTCCTGACTCTTCTGGTTACAGATATAGGAATGGAAACTACAGCCTAACTCCAAAATGGTAACTTGGCCCTTTAGTAACACCAAGTCCAATCAAAACTAAGTGTGGAAAGTAGATACTGACAAAATAGTTGCAAGTGAAGAATTAACCTTACCCAGAGAGGTCTGGACTTTGCACTTGGCTTCTGAGAAGTGATCTCTAAGCCAATGCCGTGACTGATAGGCGTGTCACTACTTGTCTGAGACTTTGGGTCTCTGGATAGTCTAATAATGTGGTTTAGAAGAAGCTTGGCCACACTGGATAGTGTTTTAGTGGGGGGTTTGGGTCATGCAGTACCAGCAGACCTCTGGAGAGACTGGAGACTAAGATCTCCATGTTGAACACCCAAGTCTGGGTGAATTTCCCTGGTTGGCAATACTCTGTAACCCATTAAAGGCCAAGACAGTAAACTGTCAAGAGTCCAAAGGGAGAGGACAAATAAAGCTCTGTATTTAGTATTTTTTGGACTGTGCCCTTATATGCTTCTTCCTTTGACTTATTTTAATCTGTACCTATCTTTTACTTGAAATAAAATTGTAACCATATAATATGTAATAGCTTTTAGTGAGTTTAGGGAGTCCTACCAAATTATCAAGAATGTAAGGTGGTCTTGGGAACCACTACACTTGCAGGTGGTATCAGACGTTAGTATTAGCAGTCATATGGACCACTGCAATTTAGTAGTTATCTAAAACTCCTGCAGTAGGTGTCAGAAGTGAGGGCAGTCTTGTGGACTGTGTTCTCTTTAATTTCTTAGTTGACTAAATCTTTAAAACAATGCTACTGTTCCTCTTTTCATGCATCAAGCATTATCACACTTGCATTTGGTAGCACTATCTATAAACTTTCCTTATCCCCATTACTGGTTGAATGCTGCAACCACCCAAGACCTATCCTACAACTGGCCCTTAGTAGGTGGCAGTATATATTGGCTGGATTCAGTGAATCATACGTAGTATGACAGGAATAAAACTTTCTTCCATAATCACCATTTTAAAAGGCATTGAAGGCAACAATTCTAGTATTGCTTAGGATTTACCTTTGTTCTAGAAGAACATCTGCAGGAAATAACTGATGTGCGAGAGCATGGTCCACAGTCTCCTTCATGGCAGAGCTTTTCACAGGTATGAATGAAATCTTCAATAAAAATGAAAAAAGCTGGGAATGAAAACTACTACTCATTCCGTACTCTTAAATTCACTGGTCACACTGATCTATCTCTATTCCCTATAACTTCAGAATCAGAGTTGAGGGGAGGGACATAGTACTTCTTTCCTTATCATCCCTTTATCCAGCAGGCTGGGCTTTTCTGACAAGTTCAGGGCTCAGAGGCAGTCAGTGGAGTACGCTTTAGAGTGTGTAATGCTTTGTCTAAGTCAAAGAATAGATTTTTCTGACTCTTTCTTTAGGCCCCAAGTCTCCAGTTAAGACATGGATCTTCTTCGGACCAGGGGTTAGCATAATGGCTATTTTGCTGGACTCCCATGTAGTCGACTGCGGTTCAAGTCCTAGACCCAGAGGCTTAAACTCACGCCAGGCGCATGTGCGTGCATGCCCAAGATCTCACGAGGAGAATGGAGGAGATGGGATTGCGGAGTGGTCATCCCCCCTGGGGGGTGATTTCTCACTTTCTGTCTCCCTCTTTCTGGCGAGCACATGCGCCCTTATACCCTTTCTGGGGAGCGCAAGCCCCCCTAAAAAAAAAAAAAAAAAAAAAAAAAAAAAAAAAAAAAAAGACATGGATCTTCTTAAAATTGTAGTCATCCATGGCTTGAAATGCTCTTGATTCTGAAATTCATCTGGGGATTTATTAATATTTGGAAAGTATGATCCATAATCTTACTAAGATTAAGCTCTGTGTGTGTCTAGTGATAAGTGGTTGGCAATTATTCTGCTAAATTACATGTAGGACAAGTCCTGATTCAAGGACTGCATAGGGATCACCCAAAGTCTTTTTTTTTTTTTAAATCTGTCAGAGGGCATGTACACTTGCTAGAGAGAGAGAGGAAATAAAAAAAAATAAAACAGAAAGAGAGAGAGAGAGACGGCAAAGTGAGAAAGGACCCCCCACAACCCCCAGTAGGCGATAGCCATACTGTACTCCCTTTTCCTCCATTTCTCCCTCCTGTTGAGATTCTGGGGACACATGCACATGTGCCCAGTTGTGTTTTTCAAGCCACTGGGTCTGGGACTCAAACCACAGGGTCAGCCATGTGGGACTTGGCCACCTTACCTTAACTACCAGCCCATGGGCTGGCCTCTTTCAACCTGTTTTCACATGCACTCGTCATTTCTTCTGAAAGCTAAATCTACTGTTGACACCCTTTAGTTAATTTTTCATTTCCATCATTGTACTTTTTTTTCTTTTTCTTTTTTTTTGGAGAGGTTTTTGTTATAGGGTGAGTGCGCTCGCCAGAAAGACAGAGACAGAGAGACAGAAAGCGCGAAATTACTACCCGGGGGGATGGCCACGGCACAAGCCCTTCTCCTACATTCTCCTCTTGGGATCTTGGGCACGCACACACACGCGCCTGGCGTGAGTTTAAGCCACCGGGTCGACTCGAACCACGGCCGACTACATGGGAGTCCAGTGACATCGCCATTACGCTAACTGCTAGTCCCCAATCATTGTACTTTTTAAAAAGTATTTTCAGAGGATGTCTGAGCTTGCCACAGAGAGAGAGATCAACCCCCAATGGGGTATAGTCACATCACAATCCCTTCTCCTTTTTTTCTCCTATATGGGATTTTGGGTGCAAATCCCATACACACCCATACACCTGGTGTGTTTTCCAAGTCACCAGAGCTAGGATTTGAACTGTGGTCAGCTATGTGGGTTCTGATTCCCTTAATCACTAGGCTATGGGACTGGTCCTAGTCATTGTACTTGTAACTCCATAATTTTCATTTGGTTCATTCTTTTTATAATATCTATCTATCTATTGATATTCTCTATCTTTAGAGAAACTATTTTTATACCTTCTTTTATCTCTTTAAGCATTATTTCCTTTGGGACCAGCAGTTGACATAATGGCTATGTCTCTGGACTACCATGTAGTCAACCGAGGTTCGAGTCCCAGACCCAGTGGCTTAAACTCACAAGAGGCGCGGCGTTTACTCGCGTGCCCAAGATCCTGAGAGGAGAAAGAAGGAGAAGGGACTGTGGCATAGCCATCCTCCCAGGGTGTGATTTCCCGCATTCTGTCTCTTTCTTTCTGGCAAGCGCACATGCCCTATAGCAAAAAAACTCTCCAAAAAAAAAAAAAAAAGGATTATTTCCTTCAATACTAAGAACATATTCATAAATGGTATCTTCAAGTCTTTGTTAAATTAGACCCTTGGTCATTCTCACAAGCAGTTTCTCTTGCCTGTTTATAGCAACTCTGAATGTTATCCACAGCTTTTTGTTATAGCTTGCTTGTTTATGTGTTTTGTGACTTGGCTAGATTATTTTAGTCTCCTTCTCCTACAGTATGAAACCATTGTGTCACTCTGGCTGGCACAGCCTTGAGGGGTGCACACTCACTATGATGGTGGTTTTAACCAGTCCCCTTTTTGACTATTTCTTTCATCTGATCTCTCTGTTAAATTGTATGTCTCATGTGGATTATATTCATCCCTGAAGCTCTGCTGATTGCCATCTGTACTGTTTTTGGTAATACCCTGGGGCATAAACTGTTTGGCAGTCAGATCCAATTAAATATGGGAAGCGGTAGCCTCTAAGGTAAGTCTTGAGATTTATTTTGAACTCAGGGAGGGCTCCTCTCGGCTCTCTCTCTCTCTCTCTCTCTCTCTTTTTTTTTTTTTTTTGCTATAGGGCGCATGCACTTGCCAGAAAGAGAGAGAGACAAAGAGACAGAAAGCGAAAAACCACCCCCCGGGGGGATGACCGTACCGCAATCCCCTCTCCTCCATTCTCCACTTGGGATCTTGGGCACGCACGCACATGAGCCCGGCGTGAGTTTAAGCCGGGTCCAGGACTTGAACTGTGGTTGACTACATGGGAGTTCAGTGACATTGCCATTATGCTAACTGCTGGTCCTGTCGGCTATCTCTCTTAAGGTTCTCTCTGGTGAACTAACTGGCTTATCATTTAGTTTGCTATTCTTAATTAAAAGAAGCTATTATTTTCTAAAATGTCCTTAGAAAACACTTTCCCCACACTCTGTTTCAAATAACAACAGTTCCTTTGGGGATTACATTGGCGTGCGCTTATGGACTGCCTCTCTCTTGGGAAAAAATCTTTGTGGTACTAGTCTGGATGCTGAGTGGGCGAGTAGTCTCTGTTTCTCTTGGCTTGCTTCTTTAAGTAGATTCTTTGTCTATGAATGAGCTGGGATAAGGATGACCAGGGTCCCCAGTATTCTACTGCAAATGAGGTCAAGCCTCCATTCCATGTATGGGTAGGGACTGAGTGAAGGAAGGCAGTCACCAGCCTGTCAGCTGCACTCATCAAAAATTCAGCCTCTTCAACCTAGAGATGGACAGCATGAGAAACATTGGCAGTCTACCTCTCTCAGGGATATCTGGTAACCTTTGACCAAGTGCTGAGAGCAAAGGAAGCCCCTTCTTGAGTGCGGTCGACTACATGGGAGTCCAGCGACGTAACCATTACACCATCTGCTGGTCCCATGATTTTTAAGAGATTTTTGCTACCGGGCATGTGTACTCACGGACAGACAGAGAGTTAGAAAGTGAGAAATTACTCCCTCCGGTGGGGATGGCCACTCTGCAAACCCTTCTCCTCCATGCTCCTCTCAAGATCTTGGGCATGCACACGAAAGTGCCAGGTATGAGTTTTAAGGTCCAGGACTCGAACCGCAGTTGACTATGTGTGAATCCAATAACATAACCATTACACTATCTGTTAGTCCCCATACAAAGTTATTTACAAAACTAACATATGTTTTCTAAAAGGGAAGATCTTTACCATTCTTCTAGAAGACATTTGCTCTCTACATTACAGTAGGCAAGGAACCAACAAACAACTGATTTTCCTAATGCAGCTGGACTCTCTCTCTCTCTCTCTATATATATATATATTTTTTTTTGGAGAGGTTTTCGCTATAGGGCGTGTGTGCTCGCCAGACAGACAGAGAGAGACAGAGAGACAGAAAGTGAGAAATCACCCCCCAGGGAGGATGGTCACGCCGCAATCCCCTTTCCTCCATTCTCCTCTCGGGATCCTGGGCACGCACACACACGCACCTGGCGTGAGTTTTAAGTCACCAGGTCCGGGACGCGAACCGCGGTCGACTACGTGGGAGTCTAGAGACATAGCCATTACGCTAACCGCTGGTTCCCTGGACTACAAATTAAATATACATAATTTTAACGTCAGATTGAGAAAAAGGATTAAGTAGTGTGCTTTTATGTATTGCTGTTGGTACTTAGAAGAAATGTCAGATATTTCTTTATAATAAAATGAAAATCAAGAGACCAGCAAGTTGGCGTAATGGCTATGTCGCTGGACTCCCATGTAGTCAACCATGGTTCAAGTCCCGGACCCGGTAGCTTAAACAAACACTGGGCATGTGTGTGTGTGCATGCGGGCCCAAGATCCCAAGAGGAGAATGGAAGAGAAGGGATTGTGGCGAAATCATCCCTTTTGGGGGTGATTTCTCGCTTTCTGTCTCTCTGTTTCTCTATCTTTCTGGCAAGCGCACGCACCCTATAACAAAAACCTCTCCCTGTGCCCCCCAAAAAAGAAAATCAAATATAAAGAACCTAACTTAACCTAAGAAGGTGCATGCTTAAAGATATATCTTTCCTATTCAATCTCAGTTGCTTACATTCATTTTTCTGAATTCAGGTTTCTAAATACTCACTTAGGAGAGAGGTTGCCAAATTACTTTGAAACTGCACATACACATTCTCCAAAGATTAAGTCAGACAGGCTTAGTTAAACTATTATTTTATATCCAATTCCAATAAACTTTTTCTGGTTTCTATACAAAATAATCAGAAGACACAAATCAGAAGGAAGGAGGAATTACTATAGGTAGGCAGACAGGTATACTAAAAATACTGATAAGAAAATAAACAGTGGGGCTGGCAGGTGGTGTGGTGGTTAAGGGTGCTGGACTCTCACATGGCCGACCACAGTTTGAATCCTGAACTTGGAGGCTGGCTTTCTCACTTTCCCTTTCTCTCTCTTTCACTCACTCACTCTGTTCCTCTCTGGTCAAACTGAAATGAATAAATAAATAAAGTTAAATAAAATAATTCTTAAAAAAAAAAAAAAGAAACAGCAAAAAGCTTTAAAAAGCAGATAAAACAATTCAAACTACACATTGCTATGGTGCAAATGGTCTGGAAAACCTCAGCAGGCCCTGAGGGTATCCCTGTATTCAGTGTAATATAATAAATAACACTCGTGAAAATTATAACTCTGAATCAGGAATGGGAAATAAATGACTTTTGGTGACCTCTGTTTAAAAAAAAGAATGCACATTTTGAAAAAATGTTCATCCATAATGATTTCAATGCATGTTACCAGCTACATGAGAAACCTAGTGATAGAAAACAACTTTCCTTGAATGATCTGAGGGCTGAAGTTTTACATACATATAATTTTATTGGACTGGGGGCCAGCAGATGATGTACTGGCTATGTCACTGAACTTCCACATGGTCAACCGTGGTTCAAGCCCTGGTCCTGGTGGATTGAAACTCACACTGGACACATGTGTGTGCATGCTGAGGATCCCAGGAGGAGAATAGAAGGGGCCATGGCATGGCTATGCCCTCTGGGGGGTGATTTCTCACTTTCTCTCTCACTAGCTCTGTCTCTTTTTATCTCTCTGGTAAGTGCATGCACTCTATGGCAAAAAACTAAAAAAAAAAAAAAAAAAAAAAAAAAAAAAAATTTTTTTGGGGTTTTTGGAAAAAAAAAGAATTTTATTGGGTTGTTGGGAAAGTCATGAAGCATTTTTGCACAGAAAAACAGAAAATACATCATGACTTTCCCAACAACCTAACAGTTCTTAAATATCTCACTTACAGTTATGTTAGCATGTTCCTATTATATGAAAATGCTTTTAAACACTTGCTGAACTCTGAATTAGTAAAAAGTACATATGGTGTTTGCAGTAATGTAGGCTTCTAAGAGAATTCTCTCATGCACGGAATAGTATCTCCCCACTGTTGTCCAGAGTTAGTAATTAAATAGCTGAATTACAGATCACTTGGGGAAATGTGAGTTTTCACTCTCATGAGAAGGAAAGAAAAAGTACTGTACTTTTGATAGTCAGAAGAGCCTCTGATATTGTAACTGGTATTTAACACTACTTTGCTTAAGTAGTTACTGTTGCTAAACATTTAAGTTAGTATCTGTAATGCCAACTTTATGCCCACTAGTTACCTAAGGAACCACAAGGCAGGGGTTTGCCGCACACTTTTCCACAGGATGGGACAGGATCCATGCATGTTTTCCGACTACTACTTCCAAGTTCTAGCAACTGGCTGAGAGGAGTTTGGCCACAAGGGCAACAGCGCACCAGCTGGGGGAGGCGTGGACATAGCTGGCAAGGCTGAGGATGGCACACTTGAGAACATGTATGGTTCCCACATTTCAAGTCCCTGTTAAGAAAAAGAACAGATTGTTACGTAATTGTTGCATAAAACACAGTTTTACTCTAACTGAGGAAAATGAAAAACCTTACTTGCCACAGATCTTTAAACAGCCAAAGTCCCCGAATCCATCAGATTTTCCTATGTCTGTTCCACATAACACATCTCGGGAGGTGCTGCCACAGTAGCATACTTGAAGACACAATTTTAAAAACAGACAATTAGTAACCTGTACAAGTACTTAAAATATCAATAAAACACAAAATACTAGGGCCGGCAGATGGCGTGGTGGTGGTTAAGGGCGCTGAACTCCCACATGACCGACCAAGGTTCAAGTCCTAGACCTGGCAGCCTGCTTTCTCACTTTCCCTCTCTCTCTCTTTTCTCACTCTTGCTCTCTCTTGCTCTGTCCCTCTCTGGCCAATTAAAAATAAATAAATAAAGTTAAATAAAATAATTATTTAAAAAAGAAAACATAAAATACTATTCACCAGAGTATTGCTCAGACCTGATTCAGATGTGAATGTGGTTTATACAGCACCTCTAAGACTAACTTAAGAGCTTCATATCACAGGGAGGAATTAAAAAGGCCCTGTTGGGAATCAGCAGTTAGCATAATGGCTATGTCATTGGACTCCCACGTAGTCGACTGCGGTTCGCGTCCCAGACCCGGTGGCTTAGAACTCACGCCGGGCGCGTGTGCGTGTGTGCCCAAGATCCCAAGAGGAGAATAGAGGAGAAGGGAATGCGGCGTGACCATACCCCCTGGGGGGTGATTTCTTGCTTTCTGTCTCTAATGTCTCTGTCTGTCTGTCTGGCAAGCGCATGCGCCCTATAGAGAAAATCTCTAAAAAAAAAAAAAAAGGCCCTGTTAAACTCTATCAATATCTCACAGTGCCTCTGTAGCACATTCTATGGGCAACACTAGAGTGAAGCCACTCCTAACTTAATAGAACACTACCTAGGGCTCAACAGGTGGCATGGTGGTTTGGTTAAGGTACTGGACTTCCACATGGCTGTGGTTCGAGTCCTGGATCCCGAGGCTTGAAACTCACGCTGGATGCCAGTGGATGTGTGCCCAAAATCCTGAGGAGAATGGAGACTGCAGCATGGCCATCCTGCCTGGGGAGTGATTTCTTACTTTTTTTTTAATTAAAAATTATTTAATTTTATTTATTCATTCATTTATTTTAATTTGACCAGAGAGACAGGGAAAGTGAGAAAGCAAGCCACCACATCTAGGACTTAAACTGTGGTAGACTATATGGGAGTGTCCAGAGCGTTAGCCACCACACCACCTGCTGGTCCCTGGGGAGTGATTTCTTACTTTATCTCTGTCTCTCTGACAAGCACATACACCCTATAGCAAAAATGTCTCTCTTAAAAAAAAAAAAGATAAAGAAAATTATGTCAGGTGCCTGTGTAAGCATGCCCAAAATCTTGCAGGAGGAGAATAAATGAGAAGGAATTGTGATGTGTCCATACCCTCCACAAAAGGTGATTTCTCACTTTCCCTTCACTGTCTCTCTCTGCCTCTCTCTGGTGAGCTCATGTGCCTTATGGCAAAAACAAAAAAAAGCAAAAACAACAACAACAAAAAACTACCAAAAAAGGGAGAATACTATCTGGTCCAAAGGGCAAGATGAACAGCATGGCTTATAAAGCTTCCTGGGGTCCCCTGGATATGCCGAAGGAGATGAATAAGCTCAGCTGGTAGTGTGGTGGAGTGTCTTGACACTTGAATCTCCATCCTCGCTTCACCCAAGCAGCACAGATTTGAGGGGTTCACACAAAATGTTTGAAAAAGGATCCCTGCTACTAAAAAGAAATTAAAAAATTGTAATGATGGTGCAAAATATTTAATAATTTGTATACTACTAATGCTGAATTTGAAGTAACATGTTTCAGGTATGCACATTAAGTAAAGAGTTTCAAGTAACATAAGACTTTTATTCACTAGATAGAGAACCCAGTCTATCAATTTTCCTATGAGTTCAAGAAATGATGGATTCTTTTATTTCCTGAGGTCAGCTATAGATGTGTTAGTTTAAGAAGTTATGTTTCAGATGTATTAATGTAACTTAAATAATTTTCTTAGTATCACTTTATTTTTATTTTTCTAATGATCAGTTATTGAATTAGGTTCTAGAAAAGAAATTTAGAACATCAATTTGTAAGGATAAACTCCATTTGTAAGGGCAAATATGAATTGTAGGCGGCCCTGAAGCTGAGGAACAGCTTTAATTTTTTTGGTAAAATTTGCGAGTCCACAGCTTTCTGATCAACCCTGTGCTGCTCTGTAATTTTGTATTTCTCCTTTTCTGTGTCAAAGATCTTACCTTTCTGTTGTCTGAGCTTCCGCAGCTTCTTTTTATTAAAGTAAGCATCAGTGAGGTGTTTGGGATTTTTACTTTACTAATAACAATTTTTGTGGCAGTGGCAATGATAATTTTCTGGTGTGTTCTACACAGTGGAACTCAATCAGGGGGATTGAGGATCAGAGGTCCAGTCACAAGTAGCAAGCTACTGCTCAGTTGCTCACCACTCTCTTGCCTCTGTGGCGTCCAGTGAGGATGATCAGAATGGTCCCAGGAGTGATGCTAGCTCACAGCTTTCTCACATGCTGACTGAAGGGTTTTTTGCTGTGGCTCAATAGCTTTCAAGGCACATTGTCAGTAGGATAATACCTAGGCATTTTGTGAAGTTTAAACCACCATTCTTGTCCCCACCAACTGGTTTTGTGACAGTGGCAAGAACTTTTTTTTTTCTTTTTAATACTGAATTCAATAGTGGAGTATTTCCTCTTGTACATGGTCTTTCTGGAATACACGGCAGACCAGGAGTATCTGTTGATGCCATAGATTAGGACTAGGTTTTGGCTGCAATGGGGTTTCCCCTTATTTTTTTGTTTGTTTGCTTTTTTAAGAGAGATTTTTTTGCTATAGGATGCATGTACTAGCCGGAGAAACAAAGTCAGAAAGCGAGAAATCACCCTACAGGGAAGATGGCCATGCCACAATCCCGTCTCCTCCATTCTCCTCTTGGGATTTTGGGCACACACATACATGCAGCTGGCATGAGTTTCAAGCCGCTGGGTCCAAAACTGGAACCATGGTTGGCCATGTGGAAGTCTGACATAATCATTATGCCATCGCTGGTCCCATAAGCACTTTACATTTTTATTTTTTTGAAAGATAATTCCTTTTACTTCTTCTTTAATTATTTAAACTTTATTTATTTTTAAATTTTGACCAGAGTGAGAAAGAGAGAGAGCAGGACAGTGAGAAAGCAAGCTGCTAGGTACAGGACTCAAACCATGGTTGGCCATGTTGGAATCAGCACCCTCAACCAACGCACCAACTGCTGGCCCCATAATTCCTTTTATTTCTCTAAGTTTTCACTTCTGTTAACATAATAAAGGCAGAATTAGGTGACCTGATATGACATTTTTACAAAAAACAGTCCCTCCAACATCTGGTCAGTAGTATATAAATATTTACTATGAAAAAAATAGGTAAGGAAAAAGAAAATCTTCATTATCCAAGTATATTTCTTTCTAATACTTCCTGGAATTCTGAAAATAAAATGCTTCATTACCTTTCTGTTGGTTCCTATTTACCCACATTTTAGCTGATGGCTTCAAGGAACTTAAGTTGCAAGGTCTAGGGATATTTCTTATACATCATTCCTACTTTTTATATACTATGTTAAAAGCTAAGTAAAACATGTTTTCTTTTGTGTTCATCATTTTGGTGAGTTACTGGAAGATGGCGGTTCTGGCCAAAAGGAAGGCAAGTGTCACTTTAAATTTTTAGTTCATAAAAAAATTTATAGGTCAGCAGGTGGCATGGAGGTTAAGATGCCAGATTCCCACATGGTCAACTGTGGTTCAAGTCCTGGAATCTATTTTTTCTCATGGATCTATCAGGCCATTTTTATACCAATAACTGTCCTGTCACAATAAGTTTAACAAATCTTGAAATCAGGTAGTTTAAGTCTTTCAACTTCTTTCTTTTTCAAGATTATTTTGGACTTTCTAGGTCCTTTTTAAATAGATACTTTAGAATAGCATTTCCTTGCTTCTTTCTTTCCATATTATTTATTTATTTATTTAGAGACATTTTTGCTAATAGGGTGTGTGTGCTCACCAGAGACACAGAGACAGTGAAAGACAAAGTGAGAATCACCCACCAAGGAGATAGCCACGTTACAATTCCTTCTCCATTCTCTTCTCAAGATTTTGGGCACACATGCACATGCACCCAACGTGTGTTTCAAGCCACTGGGTCTGGGACTTGAACCATAGTCAACCATGTGGGAGTCCACATTTTAACCACTATGCCACCTGATTGCCTCCCCTTTCTTTCCTTTTTCATTGCCAGAGAACACATGTGCTCACCAAAGAGAGAACGACAGAAAGCATTTATGAGGTACGGTCATACTGTACTCCCTCCTCCTCTATTTCTCCATCCTATTGGGAGTTTGAACATGCATATGTATGAACCTGGCATGTTGTGCAAGCTGTTGAGCCTAGGGTTTGAACCACGGTTGGCCATGTGTGATTCTGGTCCCTTAACTCTAGGCTACAGGGCCAGCCCTGAGTAGTATTCTAAAAGTACTATTCAAATTATATAAAACAATGACCTATACCGGTATCATGCAACTAAAATAATGAAAACCACCCAAGCATTAACAAATCTCCAGTTGTCTCTACTCAAGATACCGGAACTAATAAAGTCTTTTGACAATAGGTTTGAGACCAATCAATATACACCAATACAACCATCAGTAAGATTCTAGAGAAGTACATACACATGGCTAGCTCATGTGCCCATCACTTACCCTGGTTCAGTATGATCCGGCATGGCTGGCACTCACCCGCATGGCATAGCTCAGCACAGTGATGCTGACCACAGTTCAGAACATTCTCACATGGGCTAGAACAGTGGACTGAGATGGCCTGGCCACAGCGAACTGTGTGCCTATAAAGAAGTTGAAGGGCAAGAATCAGTCTAAATTCCTCCTAAACTAACACTGAAACCCAAACTCTCCCCTCAAAAACTACGGAACCTTCCTCTTGACTGTTTCCCTTGTCTTTTCTGTATGTCTCACTCCTCCGATTCTTACTTGTTTAATTACTCTCCCCTTCTCTATCCTTCTTTCTCTTCCTTTGTTCTTTCTTTTCCATCTGTATTTCTCTCTCCTCTACTTTCTGAAGAGTATAGAACTGAAGTCTGTATCTGAGTATTCTATGTGATTTCATCTGAGTGCCACGAAACAGAACACAGGAGTGAATAGAGCCCTAGGATGAGGGATTAGAAGATTTGGGTTTCAGTCCTAACTCCTACAGTTACTTTACATATGGAAGGATAGCTGTCATGTATCCAGATCTGACAAGACCTGGGGTCCAGCACTGTGGCATTTTAACTACACTACTTAAAACATACTGTATGTGAGTTTGACACAGGGTGGGGAAATCATTCCAGCTTTACTCTAACAAGCACCCTGATTTTACCAGTCAGAGAAGAATTAAGGCCAAGTGCTTTCAGATCATTGTCTCTAGTTCTCTTTCCAGGGGACCTATTTAACACTTGGAAGACCACTCTCCTGCAAGATGAATTTTAGTCTATCTCCTACTCCTATCTCAACTACACATTTTGTAGCAACTGTTAAATACGTAACAGTTTGCAGTGGTTAGTACAATCGCCAACATTGGCTTATTATGTTAACATGAAATACCATGGCTGTCAGGGCACACTGATCCCAAACCATTACACAAGGACAAGTACAGGGTTTAACAGCCCCAAGTGGCAAGTGGTCCGAAGTTCCCTATCTCCAAGCCTTTTTTTTTTTTTTTTTTTTTGGAGATTTTTACACTGTAGGGCACGTGCGCTCGCCAGACAGACAGAGAAAGACATAGAGACAGAAAGCGAGAAATCACACCCCAGGGGGGATGGTCACGCCACAATCCCTTCTCCTCCATTCTCCTCTTGGGATCTTGGGCACGCACGCACACGCGCCCGGTGTTGAGTTTTAAGCCACCGGGTCCGGGACACGAACCGCGGTCGACTACGTGGGAGTCCAGCGAAATAGCCATTACGCTAACTGCTGGTTCCCTCTCCAAGCCTTTTTCTATCTGCATGCCTGCCTCCTCTTTGTCAGGTCTGTACCACTTAGTATTTCTACTATTAAACAACAACAACAAAAGGCTCAGTGAGACAAAGCAACTTGCCAAGATCAACCAGCAAGTGGCAGAGCCCGGATCTGACCTTTGACTCAGAACCCTTGCATGACTCCCAGGTCACTGCTATCCTCTTAATTCAGTAAATGCTAAGCAAATGCACAATGCTGAAAATTTGCATGGCCCCAACTCATCTCACGGTTCAGAAATTAAAGCTCTTTCTGGGATTTAGAGGCACTCCATAACTACCAGTAATCCTCACACTGATGATGCCAAAGAGTTTGCATCATGGAAAAAGGTAGGCTCTAAGGTTATTATTTCATTCAACAATAGTCACTGAAAACCTCCTAGATGCCAGATACTGTGGAAAGCACAGGAAAACTTTCCCTCCTTCACTCATGCCGGGCACATGTGCGTGCGTGCCCAAAATCCCAAGAGGAGACTGCAGCGTGGCCATCCTCCCTGGTGGGGGTGATTTCTCACTTTCTGTCTCTCTGTCTTTCCCTTTCCCAAGCCTTTTTTTTTTTTTTTTTTTTTGAGAGATTTTCACTGTAGGGCACGTGCGCTCGCCAGACAGACAGAGAAAGACATAGAGACAGAAAGCGAGAAATCACACCCCAGGGGGGATGGTCACGCCACAATCCCTTCTCCTCCATTCTCCTCTTGGGATCTTGGGCACGCACGCACACGCGCCCGGTGTTGAGTTTTAAGCCACCGGGTCCGGGACACGAACCGCGGTCGACTACGTGGGAGTCCAGCGAAATAGCCATTACGCTAACTGCTGGTTCCCTCTCCAAGCCTTTTTCTATCTGCATGCCTGCCTCCTCTTTGTCAGGTCTGTACCACTTAGTATTTCTACTATTAAACAACAACAACAAAAGGCTCAGTGAGACAAAGCAACTTGCCAAGATCAACCAGCAAGTGGCAGAGCCCGGATCTGACCTTTGACTCAGAACCCTTGCATGACTCCCAGGTCACTGCTATCCTCTTAATTCAGTAAATGCTAAGCAAATGCACAATGCTGAAAATTTGCATGGCCCCAACTCATCTCACGGTTCAGAAATTAAAGCTCTTTCTGGGATTTAGAGGCACTCCATAACTACCAGTAATCCTCACACTGATGATGCCAAAGAGTTTGCATCATGGAAAAAGGTAGGCTCTAAGGTTATTATTTCATTCAACAATAGTCACTGAAAACCTCCTAGATGCCAGATACTGTGGAAAGCACAGGAAAACTTTCCCTCCTTCACTCATGCCGGGCACATGTGCGTGCGTGCCCAAAATCCCAAGAGGAGACTGCAGCGTGGCCATCCTCCCTGGTGGGGGTGATTTCTCACTTTCTGTCTCTCTGTCTTTCTGGTGAGTACATGCGCCCTATAGCTAAAACCTCTCCAAAAAACAAAACAAAAAACAAATCCCTCTCATCTTGACATTTCACCCAAAATGGGTAATCTCAGAATCTTACTGTGTATATACAAATTCTTAACAACTTATAAGGTTGTAAAACAGGATCAGGGGAACCAGCAGTTAGCGTAATGGCTATGTCACTGGACTCCCATGTAGTCGACCGTGGTTCGTGTCCCGGACCCGGTGGCTTAAAACTCACGCCGGGCGCGTGTGCGTGCGTGCCCAAGATCCCGAGAGGAGAATGGAGGAGAAGGGATTGCGGCGTGACCATCCCCCCTGGGGGGTGATTTCTCGCTTTCTGCCTCTATGTCTCTGTCTGTCTGGCGAGCGCACGCGCCCTACAGTGAAAATCTCTCAAAACAAAACAAAACAAAACAAAACATACAAAAAAAACGGGATCAGGAGCAGCAAAGGAAACTACTATTTATAGAAGAATATTATTTATATGTACCTAATAATTTTTATTTTAGAAATTCACAAGTAAATTATCAACATGGAAATTGAGGTCTTCTTTAGAATACAATTCTAACCTTACCTGGTTCGTCCACATTCACATGTTTTAGTCATAAAGGCAGGGCAGGGTGGGCAGGGTCCGGGATGGCAGAGACTGAAAAAGAAAGGCTTCAGTGAGTAAACTATACCCATGTATCCAAACTGGAACAAAACTGTCTCAACTGGGTTCTACTGTGAATATGGCAACAAATAAAATCTATTCTGAAAGGTATTACTTTTGTCTGAAATTAATGAAAATATTTTTAAAAATTATTTATTTAATTTTATTGTTATTATTTTAAAATTTGCTATAAAACTCACCAGAGAGAGACAGAGAGAAGGTAAGAAAGTGAGAAAGCAAGCTGCCAGGTCTGAGACTTGAACCACAGTCCACCAAGTGGGAATTCGGTGCCTTAACCATCACACCACCTGCTGGCCCCAATAAAACTATTTTTTAAAAGTTTATCAATTTTATTCAAGATAGAGTGCACATATGTGAGAGTGAAGTGGGGCTAGAGGGAGAAATACCCTCAACAGGATCTAATCATACTGCAATCCCCTTCTAACAGCCCCTCCAGCTTGTCAGGATCTTAGGCATGTACACTAGGCAGGTTCCAGCTTGACTGGGCCAGGGATCCAGCCTCCTGGTTGGTTGTGTAATTTCTGGCACTGCAGTTTCGTATGCTACCAACTGTGCATATCACTGGCATTATGTTCCTACAATATTTAACCAGAATATGTAAAGCCCAAGTCAAAATATTAATTTTATTTGGGTATTACAGTCAAAGATGACATTTTAAAATATTGCATTAGCCCACTTACAGCAGTGTATGAAGATAAGAATAGCTTGCCATTCAGGTGAATGGTAGGAGTACTGTGGAAAATGAGAAGCTAAGCAAAAATAACTGCGTTCGAATCCAGTAGATCCATGAGAAGTACCTTTTCTCATCAGGCAGTGCAATAACAAGGCAATGGGCTAACAATGGGAACAGTAAAAAAAAGGTTGACATGAGGGGAATCACGTTGGTAAGGAACTGGGAGAGACAAGGGGTAAGGGTCATGGTATACTGTAGGTTAGAATTAGACTGCTGGTCCCCTGATTCTTTTAATTCCCCAAGAATTGTGATCAGCCATCACTTACATTGCTCCCTCCCCTCAAAGGAAATTGCCATAAAAGTTCCCAAAATGGGGGCCAGCAGTTGGCATAATGGCTATGTCACTGGACTCCTATGTATTCGACTGCGGTTTGAGTCCTGGACCTGGTGGCTTGAACTCATGCCAGGCACATGTGCGTGCATGTCCAAGATGCTGAGAGGAGAATGGAGGAGAAGGGATTGCGGAGTGGCCATCTCCCATGGGGGATGATTTCTCGCTGTCTCTCTGTTTCTGTCTATCTGGTAAGTGCACATGCCCTATAGCAAAAACCTCTTGAGAGTAAAAAAAGTTCCCAAAATGTTTTAAGTAATGGTATTCCTGAACCACTGTGTAATTTACCAGTGTGTCTGCTTTGAAGAAGGGAGTATTTTATACTTCTTTTCTACTGGTCTGCAGTCAGATCATAGGCCATACTGTTAACCTGGTGTCAATCAGCTCTATCTCAGTGAGATTCTCCTGCACACTATTATCACAAGACCCCTGGCACAATATACCCCCATGCTCTGTGCAGGGGAAGCACTGATAGCTATTTTACTCTTAGGTTTAATAAAAGCAAAAATCAGTATTTCTTGCCCACTTGCCAGACTCTGTACCAAGCCTCCTAGGTGCAACAACATTTAATTTTCATAGAACTCCATGGCTGATAAGTAATATTGTTTATATCATTATTTTACAGATGGAGAAATTCAGGCTTAGAGAAGGTAAGTAACTTGTCCAAGGTCACACAACTATTTGGTCACTGGAAAAGTCACGATATATTTTTCTATATTTTTGTATTTTCCAACATTTTTCTATAAATAAAAGTCTCATGACTTTTCTGATCACCCAATATTTAAGGGATTCCACCCAGGATTTAAACCTTTGTCTGATGTTAGAGCCCATAGAAATTTATTTGTAACTAACCAACTACTTCTATATTGCTGTACATTTCTGTTATTATTTAGAAGCTGACTTGAGGCATTCTGAAGCTGGCCATTGACTATAGGAAAAGGATTCACATACTAGAAACACTGTCCAATAGCACTCCATACAATTGCCTTTCACCAGACAGAAGGCTATCCTATACACTGTTGGATGTGGGTATTATTAGAGGATACAGTTATCTGGGTCTCATTTTTTCTTAGAAGCCAGCAGTGTAATAGAGTGGGAAACAGCACTGGCTTTGGAAACCTCAGCTCAACCATATTCAAGCACTGTGATGCCAGGTAAGGCACCTGGCCTTTCTAAGACTCATCTGTAAAGTGGAGAAGACAAATACCTACATTACTGGACCCCGGTAAGGATTCATCCAGCTAACTTATATCGAGTGCCTGGCACAAATTAAGTGCTCAGCTAATAGTCTCCTATGCCGAGCCACCCAGTTCAAAGGATTCTAACCAGAAACGTGTACTCAGAGCCACTGGCAACGCATGTAGAGCAGGGACCCCCAGGAGTCTAGTGTTCCAACTTACAGGTTACAGGAGTGTGGGCAGTCCTGGCCAGGCTGTTTCTTTCTACAAACCTCACCACAGCTATGTGGAATTTCATTCCGGCTCCATTCGGGATTCTTTACCTTGCCTAAAACAGATCAGATCAGAGAGTCAATGGTACAAACTTCAACCACATTTTTTACTTAATAAAAAAATAGGGAACCAGCAGTTAGCATAATGGCTATGTTGCTGGACTCCCACGTAGTCGACAGCTGTTCGCGTCCCGGACCCGGTGGCTTAAAACTCACACCGGGCGCGTGTGCATGCATGCCCAAGATCCCGAGAGGAGAATGGAGGAGAAGGGATTGTGGCGTCACCATCCCCCCTGGGGGGTGATTTCTCGCTTTCTGTCTCTATGTCTCTCTCTGTCTGTCTGGCGAGCGCACGCGCCCTATAGCGAAAACCTCTCAAAAAAAAAAAAAATACAGATAGCTAGATAGCAAGAAATTTTAGTGTGGTTTTCATTAGTTCAACAAATGCATTATTTTACATCTTAAGGTAAAAAGATGAATATAATACTATTTATCAAAAACTTTACTGAATATGATAAATCTTGAATTCTGAATTATCTGGGAAAGATAAATAAAAGTTATTTTTACTTACGAAAAATGTCACTTTGACTAGTGGACACATTCAACCTAAGACAAATACCTGTTAGGTAAGCCTTCTTAAATGAGCCCCTGGATTAATATGGAAATAGCTGCTATAGGGATCAGAGAGTGGGAATAAAAAGAGAGAGCACCAGAGGAAGGAGGAGGAGGTGCTAAGAGATTGAAAAGACATAAAGGCCTCTGTATAGCAGACACTCACCTGTTCTAAAGCTATAAAGTAGGCATAAACGGATTATAAATGACTTTATAGTCAATGCTACTCTGTAAATACTTTTTTTTTAAGAAAGAGATTTTTGCTATAGGGAATGTGCGCTTGCCAGAAAGACAGAGAGAGACACACACACACTGCAATCCCTTCTCCTCCAGTCTCCTTTTGGGATCTTGTACACACACGCACATACACCTGGCCTGAGTTTTAAGCTGCCAGGTTTGAGACTTGAACCACAGTTGACTACATAGGAGTAGCGACATGACTATAATACCATCTGCTGATCCCACTCCGTAAATCTTTACTGAGCTTTTTCATAGACTTCTCACAGAGGAGAGTGAAAAAAACAAAACAAAACAAAACAAGCATAAGACTTCTCCTTGTCCTTGAATTCATCCTCATCAGGGCAAATTTATACAACAATGGCCCTCCCATCCTTGGCCTCAGATTTTTCCCCTACACTGTCTCAGAAACTGTATTCATATTGAGAGTTTCAATGCATCTAAAAGCCAATGATTCCCAAGTCTACATTTTTTTGCCCAGCCCTGAATTCTGTTTCAGTCCTACAGATGCTAAACATCTCTGCCTGGGGTTTTTCTACTACCTCAAACTGACTTTATCTACAGCCAGTTTGCACCATCCCTCTAGAACCCTTCCTCCTCTGTAGTCCTGATTTCTGTTAGCAACACCATTACTGACAGAGCCCTACATAGTCAATATCTAGTGTCGTCCCCGACTATTCTTTTTCTTTCCATATTCTACTTAATCATTGAACTTGGACAATTTTTCCGACAATGTCTATGACCCCATTTCCCCTCCTACTTCTGCTCTTGTTTCTCTACTGGCCCAAACAACATCTCCAGACTATCACACAAGCCTTTCTTGCTCTAATATAGTGCTCTGGTGTCCCCAATATCTCTCAGTGCCTCTACCTCTTTTCTCTGACTCCAAATGGTTTTTCCCTTTTCCTTGAGAGGATTCTGATTATACTTTTTTCTCACTCTTTGCCCCTTTCTCCACTAGGGTCTCACCTCCATTCAGCTATGTCTATCATCCCTAAATTCTGATCTCTCTTCAAATATTCCTGCCTGTCAATTGGACATCTCTTACTAGATATCTTGTCCACACTTCCAACTCAACATTTCCAAACTGAATTCACTATTTCCACCAAACGTGATTCTCTTGACCTGCTATTTTTTTTAATTTTTAAAAATTTATTCATTTTCTACATTAATTCACTATACACCATCACAACACACAAATGAATTTTCCATCCAAAATACCCTGTGCATTGGCTCAATCAAGCACATCAACATACATGTTCTCAGCAAATAATTTTCTAATTCTTATGTCCTGCATACCTTGCCTTTTGTTTTGCCATCCTTGATTCCCCATCCCCCACCCTCTGCTATGTCCCATCCTCCTCCCCCATTGTCCCTGGCATCCATGGTTGCCCGCCAAGCCTCCCCCCCCATTCAATTGTTCTGCCAATGAACTTAATTAGTCTAAATATATCCAATAGCTAGCACAGCTGACACATACCTATATATGAACCCAAGTCTGACTTTAGGCATAAACCCCAGTGAGTAGAATGAACATACTATAAAGTAGTCCCCAGCTGGGCCCATACAGCTCGCTGCAGTCGTCAAATATGCATTTTTTTTTTT